CAGACAGCAAAGTTTCTGAGAAACAAACTTAGAGAAAGCAAAATACATAACACGAATCTTGTGTCCGGAAAGGCGAAATAACAAATTTTATATAGCTAATTATAGTTGGAAACTCAATCATAATTTTTATTTTTTGCCGCTGCAAAATTTATCCAAAAAGCTTGCATTGGTGAATTGTATTTTGTTGAAGTGTTTCATATTCACGAAAAATTTTCTTGTTTATTTAATGGCTTTAATTCCAATCCAGTGCTTCCTAACACTTTTAAAATTAACTTCATTTTTTTTTTCATTTTTTTTACTGTTCCTGTTACAGAAATGGCACTACCTTCGCTTTCGCTTTACTCCTGTTGGGTACTAATACAACCGTCGCTTTCCCTTTTACAGATTTGTTTGCTGTTGATGAAAAGAGACATGCACCTGTTCGCCCTCGAAATCTATAGACTCTTGACTAAAATCTACGCTAAAACACGATTGTTGCTTTGCTAATTTTATATTTACTTTGGGGTTGTCCCTAGTATTTTTTCTAGTTTTAGTATTCTTTTTCTAGTTTTTCTGTCATGCATATCTTATTTATAGTTTCTTTGTACTCTTGCCTTGAAGTCGGCTATGCAGAATTTAAGAACTTTTCATGGAACTTGACACAAATCACTGCTGCAATGCTTATTCATAATGTTTAAAAGTGTATTGAACTACATAAATTTTAACGATTAAAAATCTCACAAGGCTGTTTCAGTAAAATGTTTTCATTATTTTAAAACAGAAACCTAGAATTTTAGTCTTAGAAAACATTTCGCTGGAAATTTTGAATATAACTAGTTAGTTTAAATCCTTATTCACCTACCAGCATATGAACACTGATAGCAGGATCCAGGTTTTATTCCTGGAATAGTGCTATCTGAATGAAAAAAATCTTGGGTTTTTGTCCATGTACAACTTTAATATGATGCAGATTCCCTTGAAATGTTCTTCATGAAGGCATTCTTTCACTTCGGAAGCTAGCTTTCACGTACTTTGACATAATCTAAATAACTCTATACTTGTCCATACTATATCTAAATAAAACTTTTCTATACTAATTACATAGGCTAGAAAGCGCTGTTTATGAAATCCTAAACAATTTGAAATTTAATTCTCGAAAGCTGAGTACGTATGCAAAACTCACACGAGGAAATATTAAAATGCGCTTCATGCATTAGAAGCGATAAAACTCTAACAAATATTTCATAACAAAATCAGATAACTTTCAAAATTATTTGGAAGGTTTATTTTTAGTTAAATCTAACATCTCTCTGATTATTTCTGCTGTGTTCCATTCTCAAAATAGTGTTTCATAAACATAGAAAAATTTTCATCATTTGTATAACGCCAGCAAAATGCAGCATAAATAGAGTCATAAGGAATTTAATATATATCTCTTATGTGTTCGTTTATTGCAGTTGTTAGCTTTCCAGATCAGCAATCAGAAGCCAAGTTCTTCCCTCAATGAAAGAACAATCAGTTTCTTAAGATTCAGCAAACTGATTTGTTCAGAACTCATGTTTTTACTTATGTTACATGATCCAGAACTCACGTTAGAGGCACCTGAACTAAGGACGTGTATACGATTATCGGGGTTGGTGACTGTCATTGCATTCAGTCACCGTTGAATCGGGGAGGCAAAGACATCACTCCTACGGGGGTGTTGTGGTCAGCTTATCAGTCAAGCTATGCAATTCGATTCCCTTGACAATTTCTTAAGATTCTTCATTTCCATACTCTAGATATCTCCATAAATTAAAAAAAAAAAAAAAAAAAAAAAAAAACCAGTAAAATAATTTAATGAGTATTAAAAAACGTTGCAGTACCAGCATAATTCTTGGAATAGTGCTGATAGAAAGCTCCATAAATAATTGTATTGATTATCTATACAATAAAAATAATTGTATTAATTCTATGGTTACAATAAATAATTCCATTGAATTTGTGGTTTGGTTCAATAATGGTGTTTTTACTACAGCTGTTAGATTTATGAACTTAAACTATGTGATAGATAACACGTACTCCTTAACTGAGAAAGTAAAATTTATTTGGAAAACACGAACAAAGAAACTTCTGAAAAATCCTTCTGAAAGGAGTGAAAATTTTTCGCTTTAGAAACTTTAAATTGAGAGGGATTTTTAATTATTTTACTTTTTCTCCTTCATAATAGAGGGTTTCGTGGTTTTACTAACATATTCTAGAAATTTTGTCAACCTGTTTTTCTGTTCATAATACTCATTTTTCCTTTAATTGCAACTGGTTAAGTTGATTATGTCTGAGTCGGTGCAAACTGTGCTGCCAAATCAAATGTTGTTGCTTTAAACAAAGTTGAGTTGTCAGTAAAATTTTAGTTTATTATACTTTTTCTTTGAATGTCCTTCAGTTTAATATTCACTTGTGCATACTCAATAGGGTTAAAAAATTAATTCAAAAAATAGACTTAGCATGACTTTGTTAAAAATAGCGTATCATGTTAGTTAATGATGTTAAATAAGGGCAATATAATTTAATTTGACATTTTCATTTGAACTACGTTCGCTGTAGCAGTCATCAGCTCAAACTCATTGAGTCTGGAAGTACATTGACTCTGAGCTCCTAATGATTTTTCTTCTATTTGTAAATTTTCTTAAAGTGGAATTCTTTGAAAAGTTGAAAAATCTTTAATAAGTGCGGATATACTTTAAATATTGCGTATAGTCCCTACAAATCCCCCCCCGATTAAAACCAATGGACAGCTCATCTGAATACACGAAAATGCCATTAGTCGTCCTTTTGCAGGTTTTCCTGTAAACAGTGAAATCATAATTGGATTGGAATCCTTGCATAATTTTAATTATAAAAGATAAAACGTAGATCACATCCGCGGCATTCCAAGGCGAAGTTTATAATTGATGGGTTGCTCATTTCCGTAACGCAGAAATGGGGAAAATTTACGCATCTACAAGTGGGTGAATTTCAAAGATATTTCATATTAAGCACAGAAATCTTATTGTTCAAAGATCTGAATTTATGTAATGAAGTCTGGGATAGCGCATTAATTTCTGAGCATTGAATTTGGGAGGAAAGAAAGATTCTAAATCATTCATTACATCAAGTAGGACGAAAGTTGAAACAGGCAGAAATAGTATGTAGATTCAAACCAACAAAATACCTCTCCCAGAATATTTCTCGCCTGTTAAAAAAAATAACCAGTAGTAATTTAAATGTAAGACAATGGAAAAGAGTCGTTTCAACTTCTGCAAGTATTACAAATTCTTTCAAAAGATTATCAAAATTAAATGTGAAAAAATTTCCGTTAACGAAATATGGAATCGAGAATGTTTCTCTATTGTGATAACGTGCATTTGTTTTTTCAAAATATTTCATTATTTTCTGTTTCGTGTTCCTGTTTCATCTTCAATTGTCCAAATAAGTTTAACTGTAAGGTCTATGAAGCAATAAACCAATTAAGTTTAACTGGAAGTGATTTTAGAAGCAGTATTTTGTTTAGAAAACGTAAGTGTATTTCCCTAAAATTTGTGTTATATTTAAAAATAAAATGTGGTCGTAAATACTACAGAACAGTATATGAAATTTATATTTAGTTCTGTTAAAAATATGTTTCTTCAGGTATATTAAATATAATTGTGTGGTGAAGAGTGTTATCAAATTATTCACACTGTAATCAGTTGTATATCTTCATCCCTGTTACAAATTGTAAATGATAAAAAGAGTAATTGTAAACCAGAATACAATTACACAGTCTTATTGTAAATACACTGCATTTTAACGTCTTCAAAAACTTAAAACTTATTGGACTTAGAATGGACACTTAGAATGGATTTTATTTACCATAGCATATCCCACAGAAAAACTATCTTCCGAATTTTCACACATATGGTTGGCTGAGTTTAAATATTTTAATCCATACGTTTAGACAGATTGTAAGAACTATAAATTTCTTATTTTTTTACAATTTTTGCAAAGAAATTGAAGAAATAATTTATGTTTAAGAAATTTTTATTTCAGCCTATTATAATGTAAAAGTATCCTTGCATTCAAAAAAAAAAAAAAAAAAAAAGGGGGGGGGGAAATTAAAACATCGTAATTTTATTTATCATTTTTGAAGCTGGACACATTTTACAGTTATGATATAAAGCGAAAATTTTGCATTCGAAAAAATTATATTATTATTAATTCGAATGTTTACTAAAACAATTTTCCCTAATTTTTTTTATTTAAACATAATTTGACAATGTAATAAAAATATCGCGACTAATTCATATTTTAAACTGGTTTTTAATATTCATATGTATCTTTTCATATGAAAACAAAATCTAAGCATGTACCTCATTCTATAGCATATGAAAATAATCGTTTTAGCATTAAATTATGCTAAAATTATCAAAACACAGCGCTTACACTTCTGATAATCATCGACTTAAGAAAAATAATTCATTGTATTTTATAACACTTTACTTTTGAAACTTTTACAAGAAAAATTGCTTCATGAGAAGAACCAGGATGTTTCGCTGTTATGGTACATATGGCTCTAAGTATGTTTGTCCATTCTCCTGCAGCATACCTCTACAACTGGTCATCACAGTAGTAAGTCATGAGTTGCAAGAGTTTTACCAATTTTTTTGGTAATGATGCTATCTTAGCCTCAAAGAAAGAAGTCACATTAGGAATGGCATTACATTAGGAAACCTAGTAACATGCTGCAAAAAAGTACGTCCTGAACTCGAGCACTGCAGATATGGTCTGTGTAAGCATTACACTGAACTGCCTTTACTTAACATGTGTAAGTCTTACACAGAACATTTGCAGTAAGTAAATTTAGTGAAGGTCCAGTTCTTTCCATACATGGATTAATATTACTTATAAATATAGTCATTACTACTCTTAAGAATTCAGTATTTAGGAAATCTAATGAAACATTTATAATAGTCCTTAATTTAGTAGTAATGTTAGAATTTAATTGATGAAATCGTTTTTCTTACCATATACTCTAATAGATCCTTCTGTTGAGCCCAACGAATTCCTGGCCAGACAAGTGTAGGATCCGAAATCTTCCTTTTTCAGAGATAAGATTGTTAGTTTCATGTGCATTTTATATGTGTTCTCTTGAACTGTGACGGCATATCTGTCTCCAGAGATAAGCAGCTGGCCATCATGTTTTGTCCAGTAATTGAGGGACTTAGGGAAGGCTTCGACCAGACATTCCAGACTTACGCTCTGGCCCACAGAGCCCACTATCAACTGGTTGGGGATCCATAACATTGGTGGAACTTGAGGCGAAGGAAAGAAAGAGAAAGGAAAAAGTTAAGATTTTTTAGCGGAAAATATCCTGAAAATGCTTTATACACATTTTATTATTATGGTACATCCTTATTATCACGTTGTCCTTACTTAAAACATACCAAGATTACTATAAATCAGCACTAAAGGGCTGTCAACCCTACCTATGGTCGCTTATAGTTCGACAGTCATAAGAAGTGTTCTCAGTAAGCCATTTTCTATCATTGCATCTCTTTTTATAATATTTTCTCTTCAACTCTTCAAAAAGAAATGTTAACAGATTTTGATGTATCAAGAAGTGACGAAGATGTTGAAACTACCATTCTTTTACTGCGATTTCCGAAATAAATTAATAAATTAATAATTAATAATCTTCGAACTCTTTAAATCATCAGAGCCATCATAAAAAGACAGTACCCACATTATTTTAAACAATCGTTATGCCTCTGACTGCAATAGGTGAATGAGCATTTTAAATCTAAATTAATTTTTATACTTCAAAAACGAATTATCTGAATATACTTTCCTTTTGAGCTAGAGGTACACTAAAAATTATGTTTCTCGGCTTTACGATAATTTAGAAAAGAAATTGATTATTTAGTATTAATCCGCTATTTTAAATTAACAATCCCTTTTTAAACAGTACTCGGTTAGTTCCGATAATATTCGGATATTTGTACTCATAGTATCATTTAAGATCTACAAATTTATAATGCTGAAAAAATGGAATTAATAACTTATTATTAATCAATATTTATGTATTTAAGCTATATTACTAAGCAACAAAATGTTGGAAAAAATGCATCTTGATAAATACAACTTTGTCATTTAGAGTTTCTTTTCATTACTTACTTATACCAATATAACCCTAAGAACGAAATGTTTCTCATTAATTAAAAATCAATCACAGTTTTACCAAATGATTTCATTTTTTGACTTATTTTTTTAAATAAAAATTTCAATACTTCCCCATGAAATTTGCATCGAAATCATACCAGATAAATGTAGAAATATTTTTAAAAATACTACACATACAGAATCAAATTTATAGAAATATATTAATATAAAAAGAAATCTAGTAAACCTGTAGGAAAAGAAATCAAATTGCTTATCAGAAAAAAGACCTTTAAACTTATATTTTCTTCTCATTGGATAGCTCACCAGCGGATGAGAGTTTTTGGTTTATTTTAAGTCACTGACCACTGGTAGTTCTGTCCGAGGTTCGAATCCTGGCGAACATACTAGCTCCATGGACATTTTCGTAGTTTTCTGCACTTGTAACGTGTATACAAGCAGTTTCCCTTAAAAAGTTCCTCCACGAAGGCATCCCTACCCTTAGGCAGATGGCTTTCGAATGGCTGCCATGATTAAATAAACGAAACCAAAAACATCTCTTTGTGAAATGAAATATGTAAATTCTTTTCAACTGTAAACTACCAATCTATTGATATTGTATCAATTTATTTATATAACATTATATATGGTTTGTTAAGGTTAAAAGGTCACAGCAAAAATTAAAATGTTTGCCACCTTGGTAACACCCATAATCTATCATTTTCAATATATTCTAATTCATTTTCTTGTAGCTAAAATTAAGACAAAACTACAAGCGAACATCTTCAGTTTTCACTTTAAAGGCAACATTAGCACCTGTCGTTACGATTCTCTTTGAATTCCTCAGGGAACGATCGAATAATTGATCGCATTCTTCTCGTTCCATGCTGAGAAATAGTTTAGACGATATTGTGAACTTTTCATTCTAAAGATTTTTGTTCGCCATTTTATTGAGAAAATGTTCGAAGCTAGAATTACTGGCACAAATATCATTAATTTAAATCAATGCAAACAGATCTTTTTTTTGCAACAAAGAGCTCCAAAAGTTGATAATGATGTATTCATCACAAGAGACACATTATTGAAGAGCAATATTTAAAGAAAACACTAGCATATGAATCAAAAATAACAAATGCAGATAAATATTTCTCTAATACGTTTATTTACTATGTTAGAAATTTCCACGCATTTTATACAACTTTGCATTTATAATATTTACACCCGCTATAATGTTGCGATCTTACGGTTGGCTACACAGATCTTTGCGGTGGCTGATTCTTAAATAATCACTCCGTATGAGCAGAAATATTTGACAACTTATTGTAAATTATAATGAAAAGCATTAAAATAAATAGCTGCAAATACCTGAGATGAACGAGAATCCTTAGAGGACGAGAAAAATGGTAAATTGCCAAAATAACGTCCAAAGAAAATTCTAAAACGCAATTCAGCTAACTCGACCTGGCTCTATGAGCACCATTTATGTGATATTGCATTGGTTTCTTCAGGAGAAAAACTACTACTACTAGTAGTTTCGAAAAGGCATTTTTACGAATCTACCAGAAAATTGCCACGTTGACGAGAGATAGTCAAATGTCGCCACTTTGGCAATCAAAATTATTACTACGGTTTGTTAGGAGTATTTTTGCTTCTATTTCACGTTCTAAATCAGCCTTTTTAACAATCTCAAAGTCGTTGGAATTCATACTGATAGGTTTTTAATTGCACGCAAGGAAAAAAAAATGACGTAAAATATATGGCCACAAATTCAGTCAAAACAAAATAAATTTTAACTTCTGATCCTAAATGCAGCAAATAAATGAATATTTACACATAATAAAATTACAGTCTGTCTCTGTGTGTGTGTGTGTCTTTCGTTCGTGTTGCGCGTAAGCTAATAGAACCAGGGCTATGAAATTTGGTACATAGGGTGCATCTAGACAAGAGCCAGTGCACCTCGAAGCGATATTTTCAAAATTCGAATGAGATTTTTTATTTTTGTATTTTATGTTTTTCGATGAAATGGAATCAAATTGATAATTCTCTCTCATTATATTAGTAAGAATGGCACGCAGCCATTGTTGCTGATATATCACTGTTGCCACTCGTTTTAAATTTAATGTTTCTCTTGGATACTGAACGTTTGTCAAAAGAAGGCAACGGGAAGTTGGTTAATTTATTTATTAGGATAACTAATTTTTGTATTAAAGGATATTGCTTATTTCATTGTAATTTTTTTATATGTATACATTTTGATTGAAATTTTTTTGATTGTTGTTGTTGTTTGTTTTTGATAAATTTGTTCTGCAGAGTACAGTTCTGTGCAGTTTTTAATTTAATGTTTCGTGTTCCCTGTAGGCATTTTTCCGATACATTTAAAAGCCAGACGAAGGCTAGTAAATAAATAAATTAAACATTTCACATTTTTATAAGAATTAACAAAAGAAATAATTTAATCAATTGGAATTTAAATATTTACAGAAATTTGCAACGACACTGCTTCCTGAATAATGTGAAGTTGCTTTCAGCAGCGTCCTCTAATTACAAATTAATATTTCTTTTATTATTGAACATTTGCAAATATATTATAAAACTCGAATTTCAAAATCAGAAAACAATATTTATAAAGGAATTACCTGCAAAAACATATGTAAGATAATATAGCGTTAGAAAATCTTTTATTACTTACGGTAATGCTGAAACTATTCGTCATAATTAACAGATACAAATTAAGTGTAATATAAATTATATCAGTTATCTTTATATTCAGATATAGAGTAACAGAGAACAGATAGACAGATGTCAAACAGAAAGGAACATTCATCCTGATGATTTGTTTTCCATTCTAATATAAGTAATTCTATTGCCTTACATAATATGATTGTACTCGACTTTTGGTCTTGAACAGTGCTTATTTTATATTTTATAATTTTTATAATTAAAAAAAATTAAATTTTTATCTGTTCAAATAAGGGTCAGACCAAGCCAAATGCTTGTTTCACAAATAAATGTTTCATTTTTCTGAAATTTTGCTAGCTTTGTGCTATTATCGGCAATTTTGTTTTTAATTCTTGTGTTTCTAATTATATTTGACATTTTTTTATCCTAATTACTTTACAGTAGATATGGTTTTTGTAATGAATTTTACTTTTTATTGTTAGTTTAACGTTCTAAACTATCATTCAAAATATTTAAAATGCTTCGAGAAATAAATTCAGAAAAGCGGTTGGTCGTATGAAACTGCCATCTGCTCTTCAACAAAAAGCTACAACTTTACAATTATTTCCCTTTTTTGCCTCAATTTTTTTATTTAATACATTTTTTTTTCCTTTTTACGTTTTATACGTATCAACCATGAGAACTAAAAGCTTTTGTGTTCACATAATTGTCTATAGGTCTTAAAATGGTGGTCTTAAAAAAGAGGGTCTTAGAAAAATTTATATATGATATATGAACTCCTATTCTCCCAACCAATATAAAACTTCAACTCCCATATAAGAACTCCTATTCTTCCAACCAAGCGAAATGAAATTTTAGATATTGTTATTTGAAGGTATAAGTTCGAGATTATGATCATTTAAAACAATAAAGCTCTCACGATTATGATTATTGTGAAAACATTTCGAAATTACCGAATGGCAATATTGTTTTCCTGTGCAAATTGATCAGCACACTGAAAAATCATAAATGTTGTAGAAGTGATGCAAGTACAATGAAAATTGCCGGCTAAAAACGTTTTTAACAAAACGCATTGTAAAGGAAGAATAACGGTTAAGAGAGGCGGAGCATTGATACACTTTGCATAATTCACGTAGATAGACAGTAGAATCACTAATCACGGAACACGTTGTTCAAACCATTGCTGATTGAAAACCTTTAATTGAGCAGTATGGGAAAACTGTTTCTTCAACCTTTCCATGCCGGGTTCGAGTCCCGATGAAACTGTTTTGCGCAAAAATCTGTAGGAAAAATGCTTTCTTACCTTCCTCCATATTATTCATGCTTTTCATTGTATTTATTACAAACATAAATTACCCTATCTCAAGGAAATTTAACTTTTCAAAGTTATGTCATAGATATGCCAGTTGCTTTTGCTTCAACTCACATCAACAGATGGCGTCACCGGAGCGTCACTTCAAAGATATGCCATTACTGA